GGTCCTCCAGGCCCTTCAGGACGAGATGGTATTGATGGAGCGAAGGGCGAATCTGGAAAACCAGGCATTGGCAGGGACGGATTGCCTGGATTAAAGGGTGAGTCGGGTGTACCAGGTCGGGATGGATTACCAGGATTCCAAGGTCAAAAAGGTGATACTGGTGTAAGAGGATTCCCTGGAATAAAAGGCGACTATGTAAGTTTCCATAATCAACAAAAGTATTAAAAAATAGAGAATTTTGTAATTATAATTTCATTTCTCTTTATTGTTATTATTAGGGTCCACCGGGTATACCTGGAGAACCTGGTCCGCCCGGTATAGACGGACTTCCTGGAGAAGTTGGTGAAATCGGACCACAGGGAGTACCTGGTTTTTCTGGAATTGATGGCGAGATGGGCCCTCCTGGCCGGCCTGGACTCGATGGTATTAAAGGAGACCGCGGTTTACAAGGTAATTATAACATAGATTTTGTAAAATACCATCAATCACAATTGTAATACTAGTATTATTGTACAAAATATAAAAGTATTACGTTTAAAAAAATAAAATTGTATTCTCGTAAAAATCACCACCACTATTTTACAATTAATTATTAATATGTTAGATTTAGAAAACAAATTATCAAAGCATCTTAATTATTTTATTCAATCTTGAGTTATTTAATATTATATTATAAACGCACACTGGATAATTACTATAATATTTATCAATATGTAAAAAACAGATTCATATACGTAAAGTAGTTCAATTATGTCAAATAAAATTAAATTTTAGGAGTTGTCGGATTGCCTGGTATTCAAGGAGCACTAGGAGAAAAGGGAGATCGTGGTCCGCCAGGACCTACAATCCAGATTAAGGGTGAAAAGGGTGAGCCAGGTATTCCTGGATTTTCTGGAGAAAAAGGAGAGAAAGGAAATCAAGGTGTAATAGGTCTGTCTGGTTATGACGGTGAAAAAGGCGATAGAGGTCTACCTGGACTCGAAGGATCTTCTGGACCTCATGGTGCTCCCGGATCTAAAGGTACATTTTTTATTTATTATGTATTTAAATAATAATGAACATTTTAATATAAATGTATACAATAAATTACAAAAAATATTCAATCAAACTGCAATTCTTTATCTATACTTTAAGTATTAATAAAATAATTGTATTCTATATTTCTGTAATTGTATTTCTTTTAATGCATATTTATAAACCATTACATGTCTCATATAGGTGAACAAGGACCTGCTGGTATTCCTGGAGTTCCTGGAGTTACGATAAAGGGCGAGAAAGGTTTGCCTGGTCTGTTAGGTAAGCACGGTAGAGATGGATTTCCAGGACGACCTGGTGAGAAGGGTGAGCCAGGATTACCTGGTTTGCCTGGACCAAAAGGAGATATTGGTCCTTATGGGCCAGTTGGACCTCAAGGTGAAAAAGGTGATCAAGGGCCACCAGGTCTGACTGGACCTCCAGGACGCGATGGCAATTCAGGTCTCGAAGGTGTACCTGGATCACCTGGTGAGAGAGGTCAGAAGGGTGAGCAGGGACCGCCTGGAGTATTCGGTGCCCCAGGACAAAAAGGAGAATCCGGTTTTCCAGGTGCTAATTATTATGTTTATTTTCTAATTAATTAAAACTATTACTATATAAATTAAAAATAATTATTAAATAGAGTGAATATTTCAATAATATATTGCAGATAAATGTGTACGCCTTTGAATAATATATTGTACATAAAAGCATTCTTATTAAATATATAATAACTTTAATCCTCGGATAAAGTAATTATAATAAACAAGTAATTATATAATATTCATCTAATATTTATTATACTTTTATCATTAAAGATAATATATATCTGTATTAAGACGAAAAAAATCATACTATTACGAGTATTAATTCTTGAACGACAATATGACGTTTAGTGATTCATTTTTAGGACCAAATGGATTGGACGGACCTCAAGGAGAAAAAGGTGAAAGAGGTTGGGATGGTGTAAATGGTCTACCTGGACCAATTGGTCAAAAGGGTGATAGAGGATATCCTGGTACAGTTGGATCAATGGGTGCGGTTGGTTACGAAGGTGAGAAAGGTGAAAAGGGTGAAGACTGTCTCGAACCGCCAATGGGACCTAAAGGAGATCGCGGATATCCTGGTATGTTTATAGTAATTTTTACAAATATCTACATTTTATATATATTTGCTCAGTTTTAAATTAAACAAAGTCTATATTAGCACAAATATGTACTTAGTAAGTAATAAATTTGAGTCAAATTACGTTCAAATTACTTGTTAAAGTTGTTGAGTTAAATTGTTCAACCCCAATGTTTTAATTAAAATTTAAATTAATAATTTTGAATAGGAACAATGGCAATTTACAGAAATAAAAAAATAACAAGAGAGCATAATTTGACGTTATAAACTTAACAGTGTATGTACGTACGTAAAGATTTGTTATAAAAAGTATAATGCGAAAAATAAAATTTTCTATTGTATCACTTATTTATCTAAAACATGCATCTAAAATATTATCCGGATTTTTTATTATATTATTTAATACGATACATCTAAAACTGTAAATATTTTTTAGGTCCGGCCGGATCACCTGGTCCTCAGGGAGAAAAAGGAATTCCAGGTCCGCCCGGTTTCCCTGGCATAGATGGTATTAAGGGCGCGCAAGGTTTTATTGGTCCACCGGGACCTCCTGGACTATCAGGATTACCCGGACCTGTTGGCGCAACTGGTTTACCGGGTCTTCAAGGTCCCGTCGGTGCGCCAGGACTCATCGGCGAGCCCGGTGCACCTTGCGAAACGACACCTGATTATCTCACCGGTATCCTTCTGGTTAAACACAGCCAAAGTCAAAGCGTACCGATTTGCGAACCAGGCCACATAAGACTCTGGGAGGGATACAGCTTGCTCTACACTGACGGCGATGAGAGAGCGCACTCTCAAGACTTAGGTAAGTCTTATTTCTTAAATTATATATCTATTAATATATTAAATTCAATAAATTAAAATTTATTATAACAAGAGACTTCATTTAATTATTTAATTTCATTATATAACATTAATAAAAAATTAGAATCTTTATCCATCAATAATAAATAAACAAATTAATTTATATAATTAGTATTGACAAAATTAAGATGTATCTTTTATTGCCCATATTGTTAGTATTTTAGATATATTTTATAAATATGCATAGAAAGAGACATAATAAAATTTTATTTATTTAAAGTATAATCATCAACAACATGATTTTTTATTCGATCTAAATTTTCTATTCGATAAAAATAAATATAAAATAATTATTGTAAAATGAAGCGCAACTTCACAACAATATTTTTCTTATATTTTATTTACTTTATCGTCTATTTAATACGAAAAATAAAAAAAAATAATATTTGGAGAAATCCCATTTTTTTTATTTTTATTATTATAATTTTATCAGATTAGATTTATAACTTTACTACGATTTTCTGACCTTATTTTCTATGAACGTAGTTTGTCGGAGATTTGCGCGATTAATCCTGATTATCTAGATTATAGATAATTGTTATGATGTATTTGAGCATTAATAGATACTTAAATTCATTATTCAACAGATTTATATGCATCGCGTCACATATTTTCGCACAATTATGGTTTAATTAGCATCGATTAAGCTAACACATATTTGCATTCAGTAAAACAGGCCATGCTTGTTTTTTTTTCTAAGTCTTGCCCTCAGTGGGAGATATTACGATTGCACGAGATAATGTGATTTTTTTTATCTCAAAGCGATGAAATTCCATTTTTTAACCTACACAAACTCGTCCCATGAATGATTATAAAACAGGTTACGCCGGCTCGTGTGTAAGAAAATTCTCAACGATACCCTTCCTGTTCTGCGACGTCAACAACGTCTGCCATTACGCTAGTCGCAATGATCGTTCTTATTGGCTATCTACCAATAGACCAATTCCCATGATGCCCGTCGAAGAGGCGGCGATAGAAGAATATATCTCCAGGTACGGTTATGCTATTCACTATGCATATTGTGTGTCGTCTAGATTTTTATTACAAACGCACATAAAGTTTCTGCATTCCTTAGAAAATAGTCATAAAAGTTATACAACAAAACTGAATATGATTTTTTCAGCCACGCAAATTATGAGCTAAATTTTATGATATAAAAAAGTGTTTTATTTTTACTATTTGTTCTATCATTAATAATTAAGCATGTTTTCAACTTTGTTTTTTTGATTTTAAATATCTTCCAACAATTAAGTTTTTAACTTATTATCAAGTCTAAATATATAATTGAAATTATAATTAAAAAGTATTATACTAGATTTTTATATCTTTGAGTTTTAAATGATGTTGATGTATTATCAAATATATTGATTTAAAAATGTGTAAGATTAGCTAAAATCTAATCAATGCATAATACTGGTTATCGAAAAAACGATGTAAAAAAAATTAATATTTTTATATCCAATTTCCTATTTCTATTTATTTTCCATTTCTATCTATAACCATTTTTCTACAAATAAACTGGGCTTTTTTGGCGTATAAAAATTTTCGGTTAATACACATTCTTTAATATTATGAGAATTTAGTTGAAGTCTCATGTAGATCATATAGATTTCACTAACTAAACAAATTTTTGATTTCTGCGATAGATGTGTGGTATGCGAAGTTCCGGCCAATGTGATAGCGGTACACAGTCAAACGATAAGCATTCCAGAATGTCCGGCGGGATGGACCGGTCTTTGGATCGGTTATAGTTTTGTAATGGTAAGTAATTTTTTCTATTGCCGTTGCATAAGTAAGATATAACTTCATATTTTCCATTTAACATTGTCTTTCAATAAAAATAAGTAATATATTTTTTAACTGACAAAATTATCAGCTCTATAAAGCTGAACCAAATTAGCAGAATCAAGTCCTATTCATATTATTTTTCTTTTTTTCTTTTATTTTGAATTGGTCCTGCTAGCTTAATATTAAGCTAACATCGCATCGTCACGATTTTTTTCGAAATGACACACAATACAAAATTATCATTAATAATACAATTTAATACAAAATGAGTACTAAAAATTCCGATAAGTCCGATTTGATTCTACTGATTTGATCCTACTAACTTAGAGTTAAAATTATCAATGTATCGCAACTATCTTAAATCGATTACATTTTGCTTTAAATCAATTATTATATTAGTTTAAAAGTAGCAATAAAAAAATAGAAATAAAGAAAAAAATTAACATCAAATAAATAAATTAATTAAATTAAACATAAATTAAATAAATTCGATCGCACTGATTTTGACAAAAATTATACTAACGGTTGAGAAATGGAAATATGATGTAATTAAAAAACCTTTCATGTGCACTAAAAATAAAATTTCTAACAGAATTATTTTTAAAGAAATTAATAAGATAAATCAAATGATCGAATTTATATCAAAAGTACATTAATGTTTAAAAAATTACATTAATGTTTAAATGTCTTTTACCAAAAAATTTGTATTTCACGCAAAGTTGTATTTTTATCTTTTATAGTCGTTTTATATAATTATTTTTCTCCTAAATCGTCTAAGTTCAGAATTTGCTTCATATTCAGTTAGAAAGCTCACATCAATCATGCTCGAAATAAGGCAAACTTTCATCCCAATGTGCTGTCAGAAGGCAAAGATTTGTCTCTCGCTGAAAAAGAGATCCATTTTATTCGAAACGTTTTTTCTTTCTCAACGATTTGATGATATTTGAGTAGCTAATAAATGAGGCGATTTTACTAACAATTTCTAATGTTTAACCTTAATTGGCATTTATTCAAACATTAACTGTAAATTCAAAAATTTTTTTACGTTATGAAAAATTGTTTATAAATGTTTTTCACAACTTTACATAATTTTAAGTTAAACGATCTTATTCCTCGAATTTTCATCTTCAAAATGAAAAAAATCGTTTGATTATATTAACTTTAAACAAAATTACAATAATTTAAAGCACACTGGATCCGCGAATACACTGAAAAGAAATTTATTAATAAGTATGTATTTGGACACTACTAACTAAAATATTTATTAAAAATATATTTATTATATTTAGTGCAAGAATTAATTTGATTTAATTATCATTTTTTTAAATAGATATTTAAATAGATATTTGCCGTAAATGTTTAATCTGTACTATAAAATATGTATTAAGATTTAGTAAATTATTTTTTTAATGTACCTATTAGGATAGAATAAAGTAAATTCAGATTCAGCTGTGGTTTTGGATTATTCAACTGGAATTGTAAAATTCTAGTAAAAATATAAAAATTGGAAATGTAAAAATTGGATGCTTAAATATTTATTAAAAAAAATTTCTTTGCCATCTTTTTAGCATACCGGTGCAGGTTCCCAGGGCGGCGGCCAGTCTCTGTCGAGTCCTGGTTCTTGCCTGGAGGACTTCCGCGCCACACCGTTCATCGAGTGCAATGGCGCCAAAGGACACTGCCATTACTATTCTAATCAGTACAGCTTCTGGATGGTGACCATAGAAGACGGCCAGCAGTTCAGGAGCCCCGAAAAACAGACCCTAAAGGCGGGTAATCTTAGATCCCGAATAAGTCGCTGCCAAGTTTGTATAAAGAATACATAAAACGTACGTGCCACCCTTTACACATAAAACACATACATGCACATACACATACATATATATTTGTAACAACATACACACATGACATACATGCAATACACTTCTTTTTCTCCCTTTTTTTTTTACACGAGATCGAAGCGAAACTATCATTACGAATATAAATGTGCAGTGATTGAAACCGATACAATTTCATCGAGTACAGTGTCTCGACATTAGAGATTCCACTCGGAAATAATCTCTATGTTTATTCGAGATAATGAAAATTCGTTCGATTCGCGCGGGATACATTTTGTCGCGTCTCCGTAGCACGGAAAATTGAACTCATCGGAATTGTGCTGGTTCCATTCTCTGATAACAAGGAAGAAAAGAGCGGTAACGTCTCGCGAATGGTACGACGGAACGGAAGTTCAGATGACATCGTCCGATCCACGTCAACGATGTTGAGAAATAAAGAGAACGGACGTATCCTTCTCTCCTGTGATTCCCTCTGCCTCAAACGTGTTCCGCAGCCACGTCTTGTCCTCATTATTTCCTGCCTTCTCGCCCCTCGTTGTCAGGACGCTCCCGACGCTCTGGATAGTTTCTTTTTCCGAGAGCCACCCTTCTCATTCGTTATCTGCTCTTTTATCCTCACGCTTCCTCTCTTTCGCCATATGTGTTTTCTTCTTTTTTATATGTATAACTATTCAAGCAAGTGCCTTTATAGCGTACTCTATTCTAGCATGTAAAATAATATATATTTATATTCTCTCGTATGAATCTCGTATTGAAGTCTAAGTTTATCGTACCACCACGGACACTGCCCATATCCAATATGGCACATTTTACATATTGTATATTAATATAAACGATCTTAGCCTGGTAATCGTGTGACGCCAAATATTTAAATAAATAGGTATTTTGCTACGTAGCTAATAAAATTCTATTTTCAAACTTCACCGACACATTTTTACTTGTTTATATCTGTTCCTAAATAGTGCGCCAGTGTGACATTTGCATATAAAGCAATGAAAAATTTTTATAAAAGCCCGAGGGAAAAATGTGATAAAAAAAGAAATGATTGCTCATTCAGTTCATATTAGTCTATCAATTTTATACGTGAATATTTTGCAAACGACAAAAGCGGATTGATAGCTTCATCCATATTACTGTTGTGCATGTCCTTTACATAGTTTAACAAAAAAATGCGCAAAGAAAAGTGCATTTTAACCAACATCTCACTTGTAACATTTTCTCGAGTGTCTTTTTCCGCAGTGCATAATTACTGCAAGACTTTAATTGAATTCAAGAGATATTTTGCACGGAATATTCATTTTATCGCGAGAGTAAGAAATTTATTCCAACAAATCTCTATTGTCAGAACAGTTTATTTTATCTGCAGATGCAGCTATATCTATTATATATATATAAGTGATAATCGCTATAAAAACTTGCCAGTAGAGAAGTACGATATATATGTATATAGGAAACAAACGGTTTTATAAAAATATCTAAAAATTTAACTAAATATAGAACTGAAAATAATTATGTAGGACACTTAAACTGGTTGCTAAAATGTTAAAAATGTTTTGTAGCATTATCATCAATGTTTAACCATTTGATATAATTAGATGACCCAATAAAATTATTTTTGGATTTAAGTAGAGGAAAGGCTCCTATTATGAAATATCGAGTTCATTTTGAACAAATATTAGAAGTATATAGGCAGAATTAAAAAAAATAATAGGTCACTTTGAAAGGAATTTAGTAATCTTTAAGATAACATTACATAATATTTAATTCAAATTCTATTTTTTTTTTTGAAAATTAAAGAAATGTTAAAAGTGAGCAAATTACAAAGTCAAAAAATTATGCTCCTAATATGAGATGTCCCGAGAAATCGACAGTAAAAGTATATCAGCAATTAAAAAACTTTATTTAATGTTTCTAAAATACAAACAAACACAGCCAGCGTGCGCAAAAAATGGGAATGCGATAGATTATACACAGAACTCGTTTTCAGGTAGTTGGAATCAAGCATCGCCGATATAGGCATTCGACGTTCATTCCGGTTTTTTTATTATTGTACAATAACATTTATACTTTAGCAATGATTTTGACTATAATATAGGAACATGAGTTATTTCATATTAGGAATACCCTGGAATATATTAGGAATATCTCATATTACGATTTCCACACCTTATAGTTTTACGATCATCAAATCTAATTTCTGCAATTAAACAATTCAACATATCCCATATTTTTCTATTAGTACGATCTTACCCCATTCATTACATGAAGAATTTATTGCCAAATATTTATTTATTAAATAATAAACAAGGTAAATGCTCATCTCAATGAAACTTGAAGACATCCAAATTTTAAAATCTTGTTTTACGATGATTACAGGCATGATCTAATAATGAATTTTCTATTAAATAGTTTTCAATCCAAGAGCAATAAATTCATTATTGGTGGAAATAACGTTTATTAGTTTAGCAGAAACGTTGCCATCTCATATTAGGCGCCTATCTCATAATAGGAGGCTTTCCTCTATATCTAGTTAAATTTTTAAATATTTTAGCAAAATCGTTTTTTCCATGTATGAATACAAAGAGACTTAAGACAAAATTCGTTACAAATTTTTAATTTTGAGTTAAATTCGTGTAAGCAAAAATTTATATCTAATTAAGATAATATTAAAATAGAATTAATGGTTAATGTTAAATTTTTTTATCAAGTTTCCCGAATAAGTATAAATTTAATTTTTCATACATTCCAAAAGTAAACTTGATAAAGAAATTAATTTTTAAGTTTAATAAATTTTCGGTAAAATTTATTCTAAATTCATCAAAAAATTTCGGAGCTATTAATCTTACTCTGAAACAAGTTATGTATATTTTATTAACGTTACATGCAAAGCCATTCGTTTATTCGTACAGCACGCAAGTAAACTGTCATCCGCGCGATTTTTCGCGGCGATTTTACGCGTATGTTCAAACGTCTCGTTATGATAATCTGTTTTTCCAGAAGGGAAATTGCTAGCGCACTAACGTCGCGGGTGCACTTTAAAGTTTCGAAGGGCTGTCTTCGTGTCAAGAAAGTTAAAACGCTTGTGGAATTCTATAAGAAATTGATCAAGATCAGTGTCAGTCAAAAACCATTTAATCCTTCATTAATCCGATAAAAATTATTTCAAAAATAAAACATTTTAAGGGTTTAAAACTTTAAAAATAATTAAAACAGTAAATTATATTTAAAACGTATTATTTAATTTATATATTAAATAATAATTCAATTTTCGAATCTTTTATGGCACAAAAGCACAATTTTATTTTAAAATTTTTTTGAAATAAAAGAGGGTAGATTAAATAAAAGTTTCTTAAATATTTGAGTTAAAAACCTATTTGGTAACGTAATAGAGATGTTGAAAAGTAATCTTAAATTTTTCCATATTTTTTGAAAGCTCAGAATAGTAAAAAAACTTGCACTGAACAAAAAAGACGCAGATTGCAGACGGAGTTTCTTTTTTGCTTCACACGCAATTGTAAAATATTCTTTTTTGCTTCACACGCATTTGTAAAATATTCTTTTCATTCTTGAGAATATTTTTTTCGATTTGCTAAGTACATAAGTCTTGATAATATAATTATTGGAATCTGTATGTCAGTTGTAAAATTCAATATACGGCATTTCTATCTCTGAAATCCCTGGATTTTCTCAAAATAACGTGAAATTAACTTTCTACTCTAATAATGTGAGAAATACAAGTAGAAATAACATTACTTAAGATCTAATTTCTTCAAAATTACCTTAAAGTCGTTAATGTAAGAAAGAGGAAAAAGAGAAAAGAAATCGATATTTTATATCCAATTATATCAATATCAGAGGTATATTCTATAATTTTATCAATAAGATATAATTTACGAATGCATTTTGTGTATATTTTTCTTCGCATTATTCTGGAAAAATAAATGATTTTCACACTTAGGAATTTATTTATTCACAGGCTGTTGTCGATTTGTTTATTTGAAGGCTAACATATCGATTTCTCGGATCAAGGTACAAACGTGAATACAAGATATACAACTGCGTATTATTTACTTTGTTGGGATTGATATCGCCAATTGATTCATTAGCATACGTTTTCCTTTCTTACATGCAAATAGCCTTTCACTCGTATTTGTAACGCCACATTCGATCAGGGTGTGAACGAACGCCTTGTTGAATGGCATGAGGATTGAATCGAAACGGAACACAATGCTCCACCTGTAATGTACGCAGAGTTTGTACTCTTCTGCGAGTTTCCGTCGAGATACTGCGACATTTCCTTATGCATATATCAAGTCGACCTACGGAAGATATTTTGAGTGCAGAATACGATATACGGCACGCAAAGAGCATTACAGAGTTACAATACGCAAATTTATTTTTTGAAACATATAACCTTTATCGTACGCTTTTCTATTGTTGTATGTTCCATCTTTTGTATTATTTAATCTTTAAAAAGACATGTTGAGGGGATGTTGAGATCGCAAATCTCAAATGTTGAGAAAATTGATAGTACAAATAATTTCGTGTAATTTATTGCAGCCAATCAGGAAGGTTGGCACAACGGAGAAAGTACGAGTTTCATTGAGGTTGAATTGTTATTATTACCTTATTTCTTGAACTACATAAATTTGATACTAAATTTGATACACTTCTGTGCATGTATTTCTCATATTCATTATTTTCTTTGAATAAGATTTAGAAGATAATAGGATGAGCAAGGCTAAATACATTGCTAAACCTCGAAAACAAGAGGAGAGTGACAGAGAAACTTGATAAATCTAGGTCACGGTAATGAACTGTTTATAGTCACTACTACTACTACTATTTTCTTTGAAAAATTAGTTTATTGCAAAATTGTAGCAAAGCATGTTTTTCTATTTATAAAAAATTGCTATGGCCAGAGTTAACTGCAACAATGCAAGCAGACATCTATTTTTTATTGACAACCTGATCATTCATTAATCATTATTATATTTTTCCAATAACGAAGAGATTTTTCTATGATCAATTATTAATCATTATTATTTCTCATTTTCAATGACGACAAAATTTTTCTGTAGACATCTTTGTTATGAATATGTGCATTTTAATGAGAATTCTTCAATAAAAACAAAAATAGTAAATATAAAAAATAGGCTCGTGTAAACGCAACGCAATATAATTGATATCAAGGCTTTTCTTAACACAAAAAAAATCTGCCGCTAAGTCAGGAATTCCTCTTAGCATTTCCTCCAAAAATCTGATATTAATCAGGTGTGTGTATTTATAACACGTATTCTTCTACAAAAATGAGATACATGAGCTACGATCAAAAATAAATTTCTCTATAGAAAATTCTATTATAGTAACTCGAATAGCTTTTTAAAAGAGGATATACAAAATACTAGCGGCACGTTTATTTGTTAGAAGTTTGTCATTTATATGCTACCGTAGTACGCGTGCATGTCAGTACGTGTAAGACATTTTAGTATTGAGAGAATTGCAATTCTAAATCCAGTACTTTATGATTATATAAGAACTTCTTTACTTTTTAGAGTATCCTCTTGGTCGTATATAAATGGAAAATCTTCTGATATTAACTCGGAACCGCTAAATGATAGAATATTTTTTTGGGGGAACGAGCAATTACAGTTAACTCATGAGATGAAATTCGTTTTAATTACATAAAGTACAATATCATAAAATTCAAATGTTTCGGCTCACAAAGTCTTCCTCAGTGATAATAAATAATAACATTTTTTATACCCCCCTATAAAGTTATCAAACATATATATAATAAATAATAAAAATGATCGCTCTAAGCTAATTTTACATACTTATTACTGCGTTAAAATATTAATGATCAAAATAAGTATTCAGTCAAAAGTTTGAAAGTCCAAAATATAAAAGTATGTTTTACTAA